GGGCGCCGACGAGGCAGTGCCGCGCCACGACTCCTCCTACGGCACCTTCGCGGGGGAGTTCTACGACCTGCGCTACCTGTCGGAGGAGGGTGAGGCTACCGGAGGGTGAGGGGCGACCTGGGGGACGGAGGAGTACAGGAGTGGGGTCCGCAAGGATGTCAGTGGAGGCAGATGTGCACAGCTGAGGCTAGGCTGGGGAGCCCGGTGCTCAGACTCCGCCTTCAAGAGGGAAGTCTAGAGGAGCTGTCAGAGCCTGCTCCCCGTTTTACACGTGGGGAGACTAGGACAGGGAGACTCTGACTCAAGTCCTGCGAAGCTGTGGACAGGAGGTGCTAAGCCTATGCTCTCCCAGTTCTCAGCGTCTGGCCTCCTCCATCCTCCCTGCCATGGAGGAGGCGCCATCTGGCCTGGGGTACCGGAGCCCAGCGCAGCAGGCAAGAAGCAGAAAACCCAACTTAAAGAGCCCGGTTGCCCAGTAACCTCCCAGGCGGTCGGTCTGTATTGACCTAAATTTGCAGGTACTGGCGCCTCATCTTTCTGTTGGTCTCATTGCCCAGGCACCAAAGCTGGGTCACACAGCTCTCTCTCCAGTCCAACCCACATCTGCTCCCACCACACTTGTAGTCTCCTGGTGTGAGACACCATTGTTGAGACCATCTGGGCCCAGAGACTAGAGTTTCTTAGCCAGCTTCCCTGAAGAGCTGTTTTAAAGAGTACAAAAGGCAAATCTATTCTGATAAAAGGATTGGAAACTGGTCTCTTCCGCAGCTTTGGGGAGAGTTATTTTCCTTTACTTCTGCAAAGAGGAGCCAAGAATCAAGCTGGGGGTTGAAATGAGGATATCTGTTCGTGGGTGTATCTCTTAATTAGGATGAGGTTCAGCTATATGCAGCATGCAAATGTTAATATCTTCTATAAGATAGAATTCTCTCAGTCATATAAGGAAATCTGGAAACCCACAATCCAGAACTGGCATGAAAAGTCTCTGATGTTCCGGGACCCTGGGGCTGGATCTTCTACTCGGAAGTAATTCTTGGCTTGTGACCTAATGATCCCAAGTAGATGCTCGAACCCTACTCATTACCTTCGCATTCCAGATGGTGAGAAAGACAACATGGGTTGAAAATGCTGACTGCCTACTTACTAAGGACACTATTCAGAGAGAAGTGCCCTCTACCAATCTTAGTTCCTTAGTCATGTGGTCACACGTAGCTGTAAAGGAGTCTGGGAAGGGTAACCTTTTTAGCTAAAAAAGACATACTATATCCACTTCAAAAATATAATTATTATACTAAGGAAGGTGGAGAGAATGGATTGGGGGAGAATATTTATTAGATAGAGACTGTTGAAAGTCCCCTCCCTCCCCCACACACATTTAGTGGCCTAGAGTCTGGCTGTTCAGGGGTTGGTGAGGCAGCTCTCTTCCAAGCAGTCACTCAGGGACCTGTGTTTCTTCCATCTTGTTGCTCCACTATTTTAAGACCTTGTCTTCATCTATGAAATAGAAGATTGGTAGCTTTTTTTTTTTTTTTTTTTTTTGTCTTTGTTCAAGATTGAGGGAGGAGTGCTGGAGAGATGACTTGGTGGGTAAAGCTCTTGCGGCACAAATGTGTGGTGCCTGAGTACAGAGCATCAGGACCCATGTGACGCCAGGTGCAGTAGCTCATGGGTCCGTCATCCCAGCGCTCCTGAGGAGAGATGGGAGATGGAGTCAATCAAATCCTTGGAAGCTTGTGGGCCAACTGATACTCAGCAGCAGACAAGAGACCCAGTCTCAAGGTGGAAGTAGAGGACTGGCATCTGAGGTTGTCTCCTGACCACCTGCACAGTGTGGCATATGCCCATCCATATACACATGCACACATGCGTGTGCGCGCACACACACACACACACACATGTCTACACACACACACAAATAAAATTGAGGTAAAGAAAAAGAAAAGTTTAGGATAAGTAATTATCTTTTTGGCTGCTTGTATAAATCGCTGCTTCTCATAGTCTTTGGCAATTACAAGGGTAATTAAGTAGTGACCTAGCTGCAAGGGAGGCCAGGCAGCCCTGGACCTGGGAAGAAGGAGCAAATGGTGGAGAAACAACAAGCAAAACAGAATCTGCCACTCAGGGAAAGGATAAATATTCCTAAGCATATTTTTCTGAAAACATGTAGTGTATATTTATTCTGTACATAACCAGCCTATACCTCTAAATGACTTAAAGGTGGCATGTGAGCACCTATTGTCTCATTTAACTAATGAAGAACAAGCCGATTCTCCGTGTCCATTTGCATATATGGAGAGAATGAACTGCCAGTTGTATAACCTGGTTTTATGAAGGCCAACATCAGGTGGACAGTAGCTACCAAGGAAAACTTTGCAGTCACTCTGAGAAGTAGGTTCCCAGGCCAGAATATACATGTTGCCAACAACAGGAATAAACCTTTGGGTTACAGATAACTACTCTCTTCTGGGGCTCCTTTGAGGGAGAAGAGCAACAAGAACAGAGTGTTGCTTCAGTGTTAGACCTTCAGTGCAGCCCTGTGTTCCCCTCTGCTGTCAGCTGCCCAGGACCAAGGATCCTGCATCTGAGGATGGAAGGAGCTGCCTTCCCTTTGACCAATAAGGAAGAGAGCCGCTCATGGCCGCTTATCTTTAAAGCACAATGATGTTATCATTGGCAAACATGTGAATGGCAGCTCACCACTGAGTTCGAGACCAGATTTTCCTGTTGTGGGAAGAGCTGGGTTGGTGGCAGGGAGAAGGATAGAAGGAAGCATGGGTAGGCCATCTTTCCTCAGCCTGTGTCCTTCTCGGGTCATTCAGGTGTTGTATGTAAATATGTAGCTTCTCTCTCTGTGAGTCTGGAAGTTCTTTAAAGCCACCAAAATATGTCTAATTCTCCTCTGTGTCCTCGGTGAATGAACTCTGCCAAGAACAATTGCTGGAGTTCCCTTTCAACTGCTTATTTATTTATTTATTTATTTATTTATTTATTTATTTATTTATTTATTTATTTATGTGTGTGTTCATATTCATATTTATGTCCAAAATTACCGTTCATATTACCGTGTATGTTGTTCAGGACAACCTTGGGTGTTGTTCCTCTGGGGTGTTGTTCCTCAGACATCCTCCTCCTTTTT